TATATTTTGGAACAAATGGACATAATGAGCCACCGGGAAAAATTGGAAATGTGAAGTTTCAAATTTCTTAGTGGCCTATCCTAATTTGCCCCGTCAAAGCTACAAGTTGTCACTGTTTAATGGTCAGAATTGATGAGAATATCATATTATTAAGGTTTTGGTTAAAAACTGCTTATTATTTGGAATGATGGGAAATAATAGCCCCCTCAGGAATATTGAATGTGAAGTTTCAATTTTTTTCTTCGTGCCTATCTAATTTCCCCCTGTCAAGTCTACAGTGTCACTGTTCTAAATGCTGTCAATTGATGGAAGCTATCATATTATCACTTTTTTGGTAAAAACTGCTCATTTTGAACGGAATGGAAAATACAGAGCCAACGCAGAATATTGGAAATGTGAATTTCATTTTTCTTCGTGGCTATCTAATTTGCCCCTGTCAAAGTCTACAAGTTTGTCACTGCTTCTAAATGCTTCAGTTTGAGGAGAAATATCATATTTCAACCTTTTTGGTAAACAAACTGCTCATTTTGGAACGGAAGGAAAATTCAGAGCACGCAGAAATATGGAAATGGTGAAGTTTCAATGTTTTCTTCGTGGCTATCTCTTTGCCCCTGTCTAACTCTAAAATTTGTCGCTGTTCTATGATTCCATCAATTGATGAGAGCTTCATATCATCACCTTTTTGCGTTAAAAAACTGTTATATTTTGGACAAACGACTTTAATGAGCCACGCGGAAAAATTGGAAAATGGTGAAGTTTCAAATTTTCTTAGTGCCTATTATTTGCCCCTGTCTAAGTCTACAGTTGTCACTGGTTCTAAATGCTTCAAATCGATGAGCAACTATATATTATCAAAGTTTTTGGTAAAAATTGTCTCTATTTTAGGACAGAATCGAACATAATTGAGCCAGGGCAGAAAATAATGGGAAATGTGAATTCAAAATTCTGCATGGCCTATCTAATTTTTGCCTTCTGTCTAGTCCTACATAGTTGACTGTTCTTAATTCTTCCAAATCGACAAGAATATAATTTATACAATGTTTTTGGTTAAAAGATGCTTTATTAGGAACAGAATCGAATATAATTGGCCACGCAGAAAAATTGGAAATGTGAAGTTTCAATTTTCTTTTTGGTGGCTCTATCTAGTTTTGCCCTGTCTAAGTCTACAATTGTCACGTTTCTAAATGGTTTCAAATGATGAGAACTATTCATATTATTAAGGTTTTTTGGTTAAAAACTGCTTTTTTTTGGAATGGAATGGGAAATATGAGCCCTCATCAGAAATTATTTGGAAATGTGAACGTTTCATTTTTCTTTTTCGTGCCTATCTTATTTTGCCCCTGTCAAGTCTACCAAGTTGTCACTGTTTCTTAATGCTTCAAATTATGAGAACTATCATATTATCAATTTTTTTGGTAACAAATCTGCTCTATTTTGGAACGGAATGGAATACAGAGCCACGAGAAATTATTGAAATGTGTAAGTTTAATTTTTTTGTGCCTTCTAATTTGCCCCTGCCCTGTAAAGTCTACAAGTTTGTCACTGGTTCAATGGTTCCAATTGATGAGAACTAATATTATTAGGTTTTTGTTTGTTAAAAACTGCTTTTTTTGGAATGGAAGTGGGAAAATAATGAGCCCCTCAGAAATATTGAAATGTGTATAGTTTCAATTTTTCTTCGTGGCTCTATCTTTAATTTGCCCTGTCAAAGTCTACAAGTTGTCACTGTTCTAAAGCTCAAATTGATGAGACTATCATGATTTTATCAACCTTCTTTGGTAATAAACTGCCTCTATTTTGGAACGGAAGGAAATACAGAGCCAACGCAGAAATATTGCGAATGTGAAGTTTCAATTTTCTTCGTGGCCTATCTATTTGCCCCCTGGCCCCTGTCAATAGTTCTACAAGTTGTCAACTGTTCTAAATGGTTCAAATGATGAGAACTATTCATATATTACGGTTTTTGGTTAAAAACTCCTCTTTTTGGAAGCGGAATGGGAAATAATGAGGCCCCTCAGAATATTGGAAATGTGAAGTTTCATTTTTACTTCGTGGCCTATCTAATTGCCCCTGTCAAGTCTACAAAATTGTCCACTGGTTCTAAATGCTTCAGAAATTGAGAGAACTATCATATTATCAACTTTTAGGTAAAAACTGCTTCTATTTTGGAAGCGGATATGGAAAATTCCGAGGCAACGCAGAAAAAGTTGAATGTGAAGTTTCAATTTTTCTTCGTGGCCTATCTAAATTTGGCCCTGTCAAAGTCCTACAATTGTCACTGTTCTGAAATGCTTCAAAATTGATGAGAACTATCTTATTATCAACCTTTAGGTAAAAACTGTTATATTTTTGGGATGGTCAGCCACCCTTCTGGTTCCATGTTGTTGTCAATTATGTTTTAATTTTATATGGTATCTCGATGGCTATGTTCCTGTGGTACAGGCGTAGCTTCGATTCTAGGATGTGCGAAGGGAATTGTTTTAGCAGGAACACGTTTAGTTATACTAGACGTCCTTCAGCAACGAGCTATAGATATTGCCCAATGAAGCTCACCAAGGTTCTGGTTCCAAACAAAAAGTCTATTACGAGAAAAGTATG